ATTTTATTTTATTAGTAATTTGTTTGGTATAAAGCGTGAGTATCCAGCAGTTGTATTATTTTAAAATTTAGAATTCGTTGTTGCCAAGATTTTTAATAGAAAAAGATTGTAATAAATTCAAGATATAATAAGTATGTTACAAGTAATGACCATTTAATGCGTATGGTAAAACAATTATCAATAAAAAAAAAAAATGTAAAAAGAATATCAATAACACTAAATGGGTACTACATTTTGAGATAATACCGTCCTCGACAAAAGCAACGGAAGCTTGTTTATGGCGGGTCCTAAAGAATCGGGATGAACTGTACTCTGTTTATCATTAGTTTCCTTGTTTAACGCTGCAATCTGTAAGACAGTCTGTGATCTGGGCTTAATCCCCCCTTTGAGAAGGAGAAGGAGGCCTGTTACACGGTGAATGATCTATGAAACAAAGTTGTTCTGACCACTCATACTCATATAGTCATCATTATTATTATTAATATTATTTTTATTATTGATTATTATTATATTTTAATTCGATCCAATTTTAAAGTTATATCAAACCAAACGTAACATTTTTCAAAGAATATTTGCATCGCGTATTTCTGTCTTAACTTTTCAACGGATTCGCCATTAGCCGTAATAAGGAAATAAAGAGCCATTTTAAGTAATTGATAAAAGTAGCACAAACCAGATGCTGTATATATAATCCAGTCAATAAGGCTTAAATTACGGACTGAAAGTATTCGATCCTTGACAAGAAAATTGTAGTAGTTAACTGTTAGTATTCGGAGAGAGGGTGAAGATCGCTTCGGGACTAAAAGTGATTGGTTTTCCCGGAAAGGAAATATTTGGAAGTGCTTGAAAATGTGCCGAAATAAAGTTGTAACGAGAACTACATCATATTTTAATAAAATGTTAAGCTTATTTTCTTTGAGAAAAACATAAGTAAAAGTACTTCAAAGTTTAACTTATTTTTTTTACGGCTGTAATACGGCTTTCTCAAATAATTTTGATTAAGAAATGAGATTAATTTCCTTATTTTATAATTCTGATAACACAAAGTTATAAATTCCCTATCAGATCTTTATCTGATAACTATGGATAAATGATTAAATTGGAAAAACTATTGTTTAAGCCTAATTTCAAAATTTTAAACCTTTTTTATGTTTAGAAACAGGTATGTTATATCCGGATATTCCCGATAACATTAGAGCTATTGCCATAGTGCCAATTATTTAAAAAATATTTGAAATGTTAATGAAATAAAAATTATTGTCACATTTTGAAAATAAATCGTTATTTACAATGGCTCAATTCGGTTTTCGTAAAAAAATACTCAACGATGAAAGCCTTAATTGCAGTCATTCATAACATAGTTGATGGCCTTGATGATGGCCTTAATGACGCAGCAATGTACGGCCTTTGATTGTATTATTGTCAAATGATGCTTTTAAAATTGGAGCATTATGACATAAAGGGAAGTATTCTAGAACTTCTTAAATCATATATACCTAACGGGGCGGACACGGCTTGTAAGCCTTAACGATATGGACAGCTACGTCCGATTAACAACGGATATCCCTCAGGGCTCCGTTCTTGGGCCGGTTTTATTTCTCATCATAGCTGGGTGATACAGGATGTGTTCTTTTCGCAAACGATACTGTCAAGAGATGGTGAATATCTCAGAGGAATAATGCTTAAAACGGCGAAAACTTGGTTTATTTGCAACAACTTAAAACTAAATAAGTCAAAAACACAAAACCTATTATTCAGTTCAGATAAATAATTAATAAAATCAGAACCAATAAAATTACTTGCTATAACTGTAGATACATGTTTAAACTGGCCAAATTATATTAACGGATTATGTGATGACTCTCCTTATAGGTATTTGCCATGCGTTAGCTAAGGATCTCTCTTGACAATAAGATCATTAGAACTGTTTATTATAAATAATGATTAATTGGATCATAATGTGATATGATACGTCATCCTACTGTGTTGAAATGCACCTAACTTCTAGAAGATAATTTACAAAAGGCTGCTGTCAGGATTATTGATATGGTACCATATGACGCACACTGTGGACCATTGTTCCATAAGTACAGGTTTCTGTCCTTACTTCGTGTTTATATCCGGGGTGGTTCTCCATTGGTTCATTTGTGCAGTGAACAGTCAGTTAAATTTCATAAAAACACAATATTTTAAAATCACATATATAACATAAAAATATAAATTCAATTTTAATATTGTTATTATTTTCATACATGTTATTCTCAATTTTTTTTGGTACGTCACTGCGCTCTGGTTTGTCGCGTTTCTATCGGTTCAATGCTAATTGAGCACCATATGGACCAGACGTTTCCACAAATGCCTGTAGTTAAAAATAAGAGAGAACAGCAGATCTGTGAAACAAGGAGCTTATTTCATAAAACTACTTTGCAACTTTTCGCTTTGAATTTTGTAAATTTACGATTACAAAATATTTGTCATTCATAAAATAACATGCTCAACTTTGCAGATTATCAATTTTTCATTTTCACTTTTCAAATTATTTATCAAATTTTACTTTTTAGTTCATCAAATTTCTGGTTTATAAAGCATAAATTTAGTAAAATATGCAAAATGCAAAGTAGTTTAATGAAATAGGCCTCAAGTGAAACAAACCCCGATAATTTGTGCATCGCTCATAATCAAGACGTGACGTCAAAAAGTAAGGCGAGAATACGAATCTATCCAATTATTGATATAGAATAAAGAGGAGATGCTAGTGCGAGGTTACGATTTTTTAAATTGTTTAAACGAAATACCTACTCTGTATGTTATAACACTAATTAATACCGTATACAAAATTGAGAAAATGGTAATCTCGCCTTTTGGCACACCCTATATACAACATAACAAATGAATCAAGTCATGTCAATGTGACAATAAAATATATATGCACCTGCAGGGTGTTTTATTTTATACAGCCTCTCATTTATGGACCACCCTGTATATTTAAAAATATTTCTTAAGTATGGTCACACAACTTATATAATATTTTTTTATTGTGTGTAGTTGTATTTAGTTGTATTTAGTTGTATTTAGTTGTATTTAGTTGTATTTAGTTGTATTTAGTTGTATTTAGTTGTATTTAGTTGTATTTAGTTGTATTTAGTTGTATTTAGTTGTATTTAGTTGTATTTAGTTGTATTTAGTTGTATTTAGTTGTATTTAGTTGTATTTAGTTGTATTTAGTTGTATTTAGTTGTATTTAGTTGTATTTAGTTGTATTTAGTTGTATTTAGTTGTATTTAGTTGTATTTAGTTGTATTTAGTTGTATTTAGTTGTATTTAGTTGTATTTAGTTGTATTTAGTTGTATTTAGTTGTATTTAGTTGTATTTAGTTGTATTTAGTTGTATTTAGTTGTATTTAGTTGTATTTAGTTGTATTTAGTTGTATTTAGTTGTATTTAGTTGTATTTAGTTGTATTTAGTTGTATTTAGTTGTATTTAGTTGTATTTAGTTGTATTTAGTTGTATTTAGTTGTATTTAGTTGTATTTAGTTGTATTTAGTTGTATTTAGTTGTATTTAGTTGTATTTAGTTGTATTTAGTTGTATTTAGTTGTATTTAGTTGTATTTTATTTTAACAATTTTTATTTATTGAAATTCATCACAATTTATTTATGATGAGTAAAGTTCCTATTATTAAAAATATTGATACTACGAAACAAAATTTCACCCCTCTGTTTGCCACCCCCCTTAAAATTAAACTTTCCCCCCTTCAAATGTAAAAATTTAAAAATCCTGAATAACTTAATTATTTATTTATGATTAGTAGCCTAGCATTTTAATTTTTAATTTCCTAACTTTAAAAATCCGATAGCCTATACAAAATTTCAACCCGTTTCCCCCCATAAAAGGTAAATATCCAGAAACCTTGAACACATTTTTATTTATACATGATGAATAACTACAATTCCAATTTTCAAGTTCCTACCTTTAAAAAACCGATATTCCCATACAAACTTTCATCCCCCGTTTCCCCCTCTTAAAATGTGAGTAACTATGCCAAATTTTAAGTCAATCGGGCTTATAGTTTTGGAGATCTCTTTATGAGTGAATGAGTGGTATTTCGTTTTTATATATCAGCACCTCAAAGGTAATGTGTGTTGTCACTAAATCAGGAGAGGCATTTTAAAGGTCACTTATAGCTTAAAAAAAAAATGTAAACAAACGATGAATTTACAAAAATTGTTTGGTCAATTTATTTTGATTTTTGTTAGATTTTTTTACTTTGTCCAAAAATTTTGACTTTGATGTGACTTATTAACCCTAAATTTGCAATACTTGGTTTGCGACTTCCATCATCTTTTGGCGAAAGATGCAACTAGGGAGTGAAATTTGTTTTTCACTAGATAGAATTTGTTATGGTAAATTCACAAGTGGAAAAAACTCTTGTGACTTAACACACCTAACCTTTGAGGTGCTGATCTATAGATTAATTACATCATTGTGAGATACAAAGGACTTTTTTCTACCCTTCAATTAATAAACCAACTCACACATGGCTACCTTAAGTTTAAAATAAAAAAGGGTAACAAATAATACTTACTTTCCAATAAATACATTTTTTCAACCCTATTTTATATTCTCAGAAGATTTAACAAATAATTTGTATTAACCAATTCTAGCTAAAAAATATTGTTCATTCTAAAATGTTTTAAAAATGCGATTGCTTAATAATGATTCACATTAATCTGTAATACTACAATTATTTTATAAAAATAAACAAAATATTACAAATACTTTTATTACAAATATAGTTTCCCACTCAAGCTAGTTGAAAACTTAATTAATAATTTTTTTATGTATTTAACGACTGGGCTATTTTATTAAAAGTAGAATAATACAACAACGAATATTCTTCTAAGTTTAGTCTACCCTGTACCTAAGTCAAATGGGGGACTTCCCATCGGCCAAAAATTTTACAATTTCATTTGGTAATATTATAATATAACATCAACTGGTGTGTGTATAAAATAATTAAAGGCCAATCTAATCGTAGCATTACGAACATTTACGTTCTACGCATCCTTGTTCAGTGTTAGTGCACGGCCTTGGTTAAAATTTTCATTTGAAACTGATTTGAAAAAATTTAGTTAAAGGTAAGTTTAGTTCTATAAAGACATTACCTACTTATGAAAAAAATTCAAAAAAAAATCGGTGCTTAAATTTGTGTTTTTATTGAACGACTATTAACTAGCAAGTAGTTTTAAAGAATGTTCTGGAAGTTCCTTATCAACGCATAAACTAAGAAAACTTGAGGAAGTGTAAGTGATTATGTATTATTTACAGAAGGGTTCACAAAGTTAATTTATTTTGTAGGTTAGTAGTCAATTTGGTTTTATTTATAAAAATATAAACAATTCCAACAAGAATTATTTTATTCATTCTGAAAAAATATTATTAGCCTATTATTTAGAGTTATATTTTTTAAAAAAGGAAAAATTCAGTAGCAAAATTTCATCTTATTAATTGAGTGATTTTTTAAATTCAAATTTTCATTTAAAAAAATACAAAAATTTTTGTTTTCACTTCATTTGAAATATATTGATTCGTTAGAGATTAACTGATTTTGATATCTAATTCAGAAATTACATAGATTTTTTAATTCACAACTGAAGTATCATCAAGGTAAATGCAGAGTTGAAGAAGGTTCACAATAAATTACTAATAATTTTGTCCTGGTGATTTTGGTATAAAAAATAAGTAAATCTGGGTTCATAACAAGTCCTTGTAAAACCAAATAGCACAATATTTTATTTCTTACTTCTAAATCAAATTTTGGCTGTAAGAAATTCTGTTGGGATTATTTTAACACGGATATAAATTATAATTAGTAAATTCGTAAATTTCAGAAATAAATTGTCCTTTAAGTTTACTGATTAGCGTAAAGTTCTCAAAACAAATTTATATATAAAATCATATAAAATGGCAGAAAATGTGTCACTATTGATTACAATTATTATTAAAAAATTATTAAAAACACATTTCTATATCAATTGATATTATTTAAATTATGATACCCCGTTAATTTCACTCCTCAAAAATTTTTAAATATCTTAAAATTGTTTTCATTTTAATTGAAATATATACTGATTTGTTAGAGTTAAACTGATATTATATACCACAGAACTTTTGTTGATTTTTAGATCTAATACAGTATAGTATTCAGATATTACATGGTTTTTATAATTATTAAGAACTATAGTGAAGTATCATCGACATAAATACAGAGTTGAAAGTCAAATATAAATTAATAATTTGTACTGATGATTTTGGCATAAAGAATAAGTAAATCAGAGTTCAAAACAAATCTTGTGAAACCATATTCTTTCTAAATCAAATTTTAATTGTAAGAAGCTTTGTTGGGACTATTTTAAAATTGATTTAAATTATAGTTAGTCTGAAGGTAAATTCGTAACTTTCAAAATTAAAAAAGTCCTCTACGCTTACGATACTGCTTAGCGCCAAGTTGTCAAAACAAATTTGTATAGAAAATCTTATACAATTACAAGAAATATGATTACAATTATCAATAAAATGTTAAAGTTTCTTAATTAGTCTAAAACAGATTTCTATATCAATTGATGTTATTTATATGATCAGTAGCGACTCGTGGTAATTTTTTCCAATAATTTTATCATTTTTAAGTTCGGTCAAAACTTTTTACAAGCGCCAATATCGCAGTTTTTTTTTATTTGAGTTTGTATTAAGTGTAGTTATTATCAATATTATAATTTGTTTTCAGGCACTACACTATTAATGAATGAATGCATGAATGAATGTTTTAGTTAGTGTAATATTTGTTTTGTTTTCAATACCTTTAAAACTATCTATAAACATTATAAGTTATAGTCAGCTGACTTTTGATTATATTTTGAGATTATTTTTGAATATACGGAGTGGCCCAAAAGTCTGGAAACGGCCAATTATCTCGTAAATTGCTAGTTCTAATTGTACAAAATTTGGAGTATACCTATTTTGGGATACGGAGATTCCAGATTTGATATTTGCAATGTTGCCAGATTTACCGTTTCTCTTAAATTATTAGTCACTTTGGTTTTTCAAATTTATCACCCTGAATATTCAGTCATTATTGGAATCTCCTATTCAATACGAGTTCAACCATATGTAACACCTATGATTTTATGTAGTCTGGAAGGTCTTAAATTAATAAAACAATCATGGAGAAATGTGGTAAACGCATTCTACCATCGATTAGGGTACTGTCAATTCACAAATGGAGCACATTTTAAATACTTAATAAAGTAACCATTATGTTAAAAATGTTATAATCTTTCAATTGTTACGTTTTAATGTAGTTGAAAATAGTTTGTATTAAAAAATTTATTGAGACAATTAGGCGTTGCCAGACTTATTTTATTTTTTTAAGACCTTCCAGACTACATAAAATCATAAAGTGTTACATATGGTTGAACTCGTATTGAATATGAGATTCCAGTAATGACAGAATATACAGAGTGATGAATTTAAAAAATCAAAGTGACTAATAATTTAAGAGAAACGACAAATCTGGCAACATTGCAAATATAAAATCTGGAATCACCGTATCCCAAAATAGGTGTACCCTAAATTTTGTACAATGAGGACTAGCAATTTACGAGATAATTGGCCGTTTCTAGATTTTTGAGCCACTCTGTATATCAGGTTATGTAGAAAGCTTGACATTCATTTATGTGTAGAAATATTTTTCTCAGTTTTTATTGTAAATTTAATCATTTTCACAATTTGTCAGATATGTCAAATAAAATAATATATGTTTTAAAAAGATATGTCATAAATTCTTTCTCAGATAGATTACCAAAACATAAGTGGATTTGACTATATTTACCTTTATCAAAAACGGACTCCTATAGTCTATTTTTATGTATGAGAGAGTATTAAAATAATAAAGCGTTCGTAATTCATAGGCGTAACACTTCTTTTAGTAGAGAGTTAAAATATTTTTTGAAGTTATTACTCGAGTATACACTTATATTTTCACCTAATTAACCTGCTTATAACTTCTAAACAGCTGAAGGTAAAAAAGTGCAATTTTTTCTAAAATGTTTTATTTTTCCACAAGGTATGTTAAGAACATTGTGTCAAACGGGTTATGTAGGTATAAGGGTTTAAACTTTGACTTTTAAACAACGTTACGTTCATAAATAATAATTTTAATATAAAAACTACTTCTTACCTACAAATCCAAATCAGAATCGAAATCAGAAGATGAACTGTCGCAACCAATATTTACAATGAGTGGCTCGATCATTTCATCAGTAATATTGTCCAACTTCCACATTTTCTCTTCTTCTTTAATCGTATGATTTACTGCCTTTTCCCAGTTTTCAGGCTTCACATTATTTACAGCCTCCAAAAACAACTGTCATCACTCATTTTAAAAGATTTATTTTTTCTTGAAACTTCTCCCTTTATCTGTGCCCATATCAGTTTAATCGGGTTTACTTCGCAATGATATGGTGGTGATCTAACCACCGTTATCCCACGATTTTTTTGCAATTTCATCAATTTCATATTTTTTGAATTTCTCTTTATGAAGGGAACACAAATGATACAGTTCTTTTCTCACAGAACCGGGATGGAACTTAATATTCTTTGAATTTAGCCAATTCTGTAAATCTTTTTTTAACCACTTGGTTGTGGGCATTTTTTCTATGTCTCGAGTGATAACTTGCATTATCCATTACTATTATACAGTTCTGAGGAAGAAGATCTAGAATTTGTTCGAACCACTCTTTAAAGACATCAGCATTCATGTCCTCATGGTAGTCACCGGTACGAGTAGATTCAAAAGTCAATAAATCACCTTTAACAAAACCGTTTGAACTACCGATGTGTACTATTATTAGTCTGCGCCCCTTTCCTGATGGTGGATTTAAACCAGTAGATAAATTATTTAAAAAAGCCTGTCTTCGACTTGTAACAGTTTCATCTTGCCAAAATTTATTTGGTTTATGTCCCTCGTTGATCCATGTTTCATCTAAATAAAATATATTTCTTCTTTGGTTTCTCATTTCTTTTATAGTCCTTAGGTAATTTCTTCTCCATACTACAATATCGCTTCTTTCTAATAAAATAGACTTTCTGGAATGCTTTTTCCATAGAAAACCTATTTCTTTTAAAAGTTTCCATAGTGTGCTTCGACTCATTTCAGGGTAATCCTTATCATCTCGAACCGTGACAAGAACTTTGTCTACTGTCGGAAATTCTTTTCTAAAAAAGAACGCATGCAATTTCCTTCAAAGTCTTTCTTTCGAAAGATTTTCTAATTGAAATTTTGGTTTTCCTGTAGCTTTACGTGCTGTTTGAAACTCGCCACATTTCTCTTCTTTAACAACCCTGTAAATCGTAGATTTCCCAACACCAAGCGTACTACTAACTAATTCTACTGTGTCATCAACACTTTTACATAAATGTTTGTCTGTAAATGATTTAAAACAATTAAATATTAATGTTTTTTCATTAACTGTTAAAGGACCGATTTTTTTGTTGTTTACGCGGCCCTTCCAAATTTTCCATGATCACACTAGAATTCACACTGCACCTTGCAAGTTGCAACTAAACGACATTTAGTAAACTGTTAAGAATACACAACTTGGACCTCCTTACTAAATGGAAAACCTATAATCGCATTTTCGGTGAAATTTGTTGGGAAGGTATTTATCTACTGTAAGAAATTCTTGGAATTAAAATAAAACAAAATTGGCAAATAGGTACTTATTGAAAATAATCTTAAGATACGGCTATGTAATCTTTAATACACAGGGCTTGTCCAAACCTTTTTCTATTGTTCTGTAGAGCTTATGTTTATAAAGGACCAATAAAAGACCCAAAACTTGTAATAGCTCAGGTACATTTATTACAATTTTAGGAAATATTTAGATTATTCTGTAAAAATATTTAAAATGACCGTACTAAGTTTTGCATTAGAAATGCTGTTTTATAACTCTCTCATACATAAAAATAGACTATAATAAAGGTACAGGCCGTTAAACTATTTTTTTTTGTAAAAAGTTTGCTGTTCCGATTTTTTCTTTGAAATTTTTGCCAGTGCTGTAGAGTTGAAGGCCCAATATTC